ACATTCTAATTGTTCTGTTCAAATGTTATCTATCTATCTATCTATCATCTATCTATCTATCTATCATCTATCTATCTATCTATCTAATAGCCTAAGTGACCGTTTTGATGGAATGACCGGAACAACTGGACGACCAGTCACTATGACATGCACTGACCACCAGGGGGCAGATGCTTAACACAGGAGCTTCCCCCTGGTGGTCAGTGCACTCCCACAGTGGGAGCATCGCTTAGCCAGAAGCTGGACTCATGGCTGGTGAGTGCAGTGGCGAGAGAGCAGTGAGAATGCCTGAGCACCAAGCCAGGTGGCGCCCAGCCTGGCTCGGGCTCCTCCCCGGCCACCTGCCACTCCACTCACTGCTGCATTCCTCAGGGATGTCTGACTGCCAGTTTGGGCCTGATCACTGCAGGGGTCGCTGGCCTGAGGGGATCGGACTTAAACTGGCAGTTGGACATCCCCCAAGGAGTCCCGGATTGTGAGAGGGTGCAGGCCAGGCTGAGAACCTGCCCGCCCCCGCCCCGACCACCTGTGCACAAATCCACGAACAGGGCCTCTAGTATGTTACAGAAAGAAAAAAGGCAAAGTTCCTTGTCAGTTGCATTATAATCAAATCTATAACCATGTCATTTTAAGTTTTATCATTTGTAGTCATTAAGTTTGATGCTTTTGCAAATATTTTTCATTTTGAGAAAGATACAGGTAAAGAACTCTGGTTTATTTTAAAGTACAGCTTACTGAGAATACATCTTCAGATCACACCTTAAAACCAGATGAAGATTTATAGAACTCAAAGAAATAACTGGATTCATGGACATGCTGGCAAATGATCAAGATAAACAATTAATTATATTACGTAAACTGAATGAACTGAGGATAATTATGAGTTTTATAACATTTTGCTTAAAATATTGCTAACTTTTTAAATCTTTTTTCCTTTTTTAATACATTTTATTGATTTTTTTTTACAGAGAGGAAGGGAAAGAGATAGAGAGTTAGAAACATCGATGAGAGAGAAACATCGATCAGCTGCCTCCTGCACACCTTCCACTGGGATGTGCCCTTGACCGGAATTGAACCTGGGACCCTTCAGTCCAAAGGCCAACACTCTATCCACTGAGCCAAATCGGTTAGGGCTAAATCTTTTTGTTTTCCATGTATAAGGAAACTTGGTTTTATTAGAACAATTTGGTAAATAATACATTTGTAAGCTGTATTGAAGCATTTTTCTTTCTACCTCATCCCTCCAGAATTTGGAACTCTTAATGAGTGAGGATTATTATTTTTCTGGCAATATGATTATCTAATTAAATTCAATAAGAATCTGTTCTCTTTATGACAGAAAACAATTGGAAACTGATATTATTATCAAGGCTTTGACCTAAGAGCTTTAAGGAATTAAGATTGACTTTGGAAGCCAATAAAATTTTCTTGAAAAACAGCCTGGTACCTTACTTATATGGTTCACAGCAGGCTTTCCAGCTAAGAAACAAACACTGCTTTCTTGGGAGAAGGCAAAAAAACAAACAAAAACACCTCAAAACAATTTGTGGGATCTCAAGAACCCGAGGAGCTCACCCAAATCTATTGGTGTTGCCGGCAGATGCTGACAACGAGGTGGCCTGGCTTCTGAGCCTTGAGCAGTTAACTAAAGTTCAATCTGGAATTCCTTAAGAAATTCCAGCAAAGCAGATTTTAAAAGAGCCTACATTATCAATTGCTATTCTTATTGTATTTATACAAATAATCAGACCAAATTTATTAAAACTTGACCTATGCAGTAAATAAGATGGTCTTAATTTGGCTATTTTTGAGAAAAATAAGGGTCAAATGAGAAAAGTTGCTTTTTAATAGAAACAATAATATATGATGTGGGTATTAGAATCTAGCTAAGTTAATTGTCTTTAAAGTTCTTTTTCATCTATAACCTGGACTAAATCATGTTTTTTCCCCTTACTTTTCTTAAATATTTGTCTACAACTCTCCAAACTGTTTTATTTTTCTCCCACCCATTGACCTGGAATTACTGAGAACTAGGACTTCTTTTTTTCCTGAGACTTGCAATTGCAAACTGCAGCTAGACAACATAGCATAAACGTTAGAGAAATCGTTACAACAGCTCATGCTTAACTGATCCAGTCACTGATGCTGGATAAGCCACAGAGAGTTACCTGAGCACCTGATATCATCAGAGACATTCAACTGCAGGTCAGGAGAATCTATCAGATTGTCTGCCTTCATTCCAAAAGAAGCTTTAAGTCTTACATCTAGAAATCTTCCGGATGGACAGCCTTACAGACTCAGAAACTGGTTTATAACTTGCTGTGATCATTAACCTTTGTTTTATTTTGTTTTCATAGATACACCTCTTATGAAATATCAGATTGCTTGCTTATACGATGTAGGCCTCATGATGGGAGCCCATCTGTATCACTGCCTCCTGAAATGAGACTCACCTACTTAACTGAACTAATTTATCCTCAGGACTAAATGATTGGGTCAGTGAAATACGGAGCAAGCTGCCAACTTCGCTTCTGGAATGTGAAACTTATTTAAGGGAATGTGTACCATTATTTCTGAGTTGCCTAGTGCCGGGGTCCAACCCCAGCAGGTCCAGGGGTTCCCAAAGGCGTAGACGGAGTCGGCGAAGAAGGAAGGACACGGAGACAGTGTTCAGTTGATCAGCAGCCTAGCCAGGATCTCCAGCCAGGATCTGTGTCCATGTTCTCTTGCTAGGTTCTCCAGGTTCTCCAGCCAGGTTCAGTCACCAGGTTCTAGTCAGGTTCTCTTGCCAATTTCTGTAGTCAGGTTCAGTCCAGGATCTTTTGCCATGTTCTGTCTCTAGGTTCTTCTCTAGGTTCTGTGTCTAGGTTCTGTGCCTCCTGGTTCTGTCTTCTAAGTTCTGTCTTCTAAGTTCTGTGTTGTTACATCTGTATTTATACCAGTTGATTCCAATCCTATCAATCTCTATTCCAAAGGTTAGGGTGTTTCTTATCTCCATTCCAGGGAGTAAAGATTATGTAGCTTAAGCATGATTGTTCATTGTTTAAGTGATTAATTACCCGCCTGGCACTTAGTTAAGAGGTTTTATTCCCTCCCTAACTTCAGGGGAAAATCCCTACCTGGGGAAACAACCTTTCTCAGAGACCTTGGTTAAAACGCATAGTGCCAAGAAGGTGAGCAAACATATTAAGAACAGTATGCCATATATGCCAGGTCCCTTGAAACAGCAAGCATGGACCGGCTCCCGGCAGCCTAGCAAGAATGTTCCTGCCACTTATGTTCTACTCTTCCTCAACTCCCTTCTGAAATCTAAAACCCTATCTAGCACACTCCTTTTCTTTTTTTCCTAAATGTCTTATATACCCAAAGTTGCCTCATTGTCTTTGGAATTTTCATGCTTTTGTGAATTCCCCTTGAGCAGGAATTAAAACTCAGATTTTCTCCTGTTAATCTGTCTCTATTAATTTAATGAATAGCCCAGACAGAAGAACTTAGAAGATGGGAGGAAAAGTATTAATATTTTTTTAGCCCCACACTAAAAGGCACCTGCCTGAAGCACTCTGATTTACCAGACTTAATATAAATTAGGCTAAGGTGAGCATTCTAAGATCTCCTTCCTGTAACAGGTTTCTCTGACTGAATCTCTTTTGCAGGTGATAGGGAGGGTCAAAGGTTCTTTCAGAGTTTTGTTTCTTAATGAAGAACTTAAAATCAACATCCCAATCAAGGCAGCTTCAGGATGACAAAACTTTGGTTCTCTTCAAGACACAACTTATTCTTTTTCAAATGAAAGCTCTGAGACTAAAATACAATGAGTGACGGAATGCTATGCCTTTTTTTAAACTTGAGAGGATTTGATTTGGATGTTGACACTGCAGTTAGTAACCCTCATGGCTATGCTGGAAATCACGCTTTCTAAATGCATCCATCCAAACGCCCTGCACAGATAGATTTTTCTAAAAAATTAGTTTTTAGCCTCATAAATTAGTGGCAGTTTTAAACTTTTGATTACATAAACCCCTGGCTCTCATAAACCAGTTTCATTATTTGTCAGATTTGTTCTCTAGCAAATGTTTTTCTCATTAAATGTACAGAGTTCCACTGTTGTGAAAAAGTTCCAGATAATACAAATGGACTAAAAATTCTGCTTTTTATTTTTTAATGTTTTAAAATAAATCTTTATTGTTGAAAGTATTACATATGTTCCCCTTGTCCCCATTGCCCCCCAACATAGTTCTTGATATACTTAAGACAATATATTTAAGTCATATGCTTATAGAAAAAATATTTGTGTTGAGAAAAATTCAAAACAAGCTGAAATCATGTTGAAAAAGAGTGATTGTCCGTTAGGCCTCCTGCTTTGAACTTGAAAATGAAGTGGTTGAGAACAGGCCTTGGACCACAAATAGTGAACAGTAGTGGCCAGCAGCAGCAGCAAATCTATAAATTCTAACAGGTACTTAGATGCTTAATTAAAGATCAGTTTTATTGCTGAAAAGCTGCACATGATACCAAATATTGTTGTTTCTTTGGTGAGAAAACCCCAAGATAAGAAATTCTTAAAATGTTCATTTTGATAATTTAAAATTCATTATACACATTTGAAAAAAAATTATCAGTCTCTTTTGCAACTTCAAAAAGAGAAGTATTAACTAGGTAAAATGGAGAACCCAATCAGAGGGTCAAATTAAAATCCTTCAAAGTCAATATCAGAATCATTTTGGGCAGTAAATTGGAGACAACTGGAGAAATCTATATGCAACTCCTTATTATAGGTGAAGTCAAGCTGAAGGTGTTTTTATACAACAACTCAAATAGTAATATTAAACAAATGACAAAGATTGAGCTCATTTCAACATTATTTAACCTTAAAAATGGATGGAAACAGAGAATTTACTTGCATTTTATGTTATTAAATTTACAGATGATGTTAGTGATGACATAAATTTGTGAATTGATTTATGGTATAACAACCAAAGACTTTTTAAAGAGTCTTTTTTTGGGGGGAGGGGGGAGGGTAACCTTAGTATTGCTTGGATAAAAAGGTGCAATGTTTACCACGAATAAAGCTTATTACACAAAACGTCTGACGAAAGAGCCCACTACAAAGCCACGAGGACTGTAGTTGGCCTCTCCTTAGGTCAAAGAGTTTGCTTCATAATTTTCTCAGTGTGTCTGATGGGTTGCTATTGTTAACCTAAAAATAAAATAAAAAGCCAAAATGAGAGACAACTTGCATTTCTTTAAGATACAAAATAATAGCTATTTTGGAAGCACTGATTCAGATAGAAAACTAAATAATGTTCATATAAGGATATAAAGGTAAGGGGGTATTTATGAGAAATAATACAAGGGAATAATTACATAAATAAAGAAAATTTCTATGGGTATTAATAACTTAAAGAAGCAATTTCTATAGGTTTAGATAAGCTAAAATGACCATGCTAATCTTATGGAATGCCTATAATTTTCAGTCTTGTAGTCATAATGTCTGCTTTTCTGTTACCTTTGCAAACAGTTGTTTGGAACACAGTGCAGCTTTAGGCCCAGTCCAGAGGTTATTTTTCCTAGTTTTAACGTCCCAAAGTTTGAGGAGTAAGATGTGCAAGGTTGTTTCTCTAGGATGGCAGCTCACACTCCATTTTGAAGTGGCTCATTTATATTACTTTTTACAGTATAAATGTTAATATTTATTAAAACAAAACAAAATAAAAATTATCATAGTTTGAATTTTTGTTTTACTTAAATGTCTAATCAAATGAGAATAAATTAAGAAGCAATAAAATAAAAACACTTTAAAAACTTGTTCTATCTGTAGGCTGGTATAGAGGAACATAGGTGCGTAAACATTTTCAAACCTAAAATTGAATGATTGTTTTCTATATGAATATAATGATTGGAAAGTAATAATTTCACAACAATAATAAAAAACTAAAAAGTAAAACTTATTTAAATTAAAAAGTTGTCTTATTTAATAAGTAATATTTTTAGTCTCTTATTTAATAGGTAATATATTTTAGACTCAGTTCTATTTTGAAGAAACTTTAAAACTTTGAATGTAAATGTTTTTATGAATAATACATTTGATTGTGTGTAGTTTCAGCTATTAATTTTGTGGGTTATTTCTACCATTTTCTAGTAATCAGATTACTTGAATTAAAAATTCTAGTAATTTGGCCTGGCCAGTGTAACTTAGTGGTTAAGCATCGATACATGAACCAAGAGTTCACTAGTTCAATTCCTTCTAGGTTGGGGCACATAATTGTATTATTTTATGCTTACATTTTAACCTGGAAAATTATGTAAGTGTCAGAAATTGCTACTGGATGACTAAACTCAGGAGAAAGAAGTGGATATAACCAAAAGGAGAATGATCCCAGAATCATAGCGCAGAAGTTGAAGCTATAAAGTAAAGAAAGGAATAGGGTAGTTGGAAACTGTAACAGAAATACGTGTTAAGTCCTAGATGTCAAGATTTCATGAGCAGATGTTTAGAGCCCTGAGCGAGGAAAGCTCTGCTCTACTTATGAACAGAGATGGAAAATCTCCACCAGGCACCCAAGATCATGGTGCAGATACACTTGAATTTACAAGGTGATTACATCCAGATAAACCCATTGTTACATTTAAAATACAATAAATTGAAAAAAATACAATAAATTGAAAATGCATTTAATACAGCTGACCTTCTGAGTACCATAGCTTAGCTTTGTCTACCTTAAAAGTGCTCAGAACACTTACATGAGCTTGTAGTGGGGTAAAATCACCTAAAAATGACTACACTGTGGGGCATCACTGTTTACCCTCGTGACTGTATGACTGACTCGAACCTGTAGTTCACTGTGACTGCCCAGAATCACAAGGCTGTAATGCTGCATACTGCTAGCCTAGGAAAACATCAAAATTCAAAGTAGTTTCTACTGAATGAATTGCTTTTATACCATAATAAAGTAAAAAAATTTAAAGTCAAATCATCAATTGGGGAGCATCTGTAGATAGAAAAATAACTACCTTGGGCAGGCAGTGAAGAGAAACAGAATCAACTTCAAGAAATCAGAGATTAAAGATACACTGAGTCAGGATACAGGGACCAGAAATCACATCACTCACACGAAATGAGAAACCTAAGCTGAGAAATGGAGTGTAAGACAAGAGAGAATAATTCAGAACCCATGGCTCTTGTTGCACCTGAACAGGGTTAATCATAGAGCCTGATAGAGAGGTCTCCATCGCCAATGGTATGTGATGGCTTTTCATAGAACATATTTCTCTGGAACTAACATGAGTTTCAGAAGGAAAGAATAGGTTTAGAGGAAATATAAAAGAAATAATGACTAAGGACTTTCAAGAATTAAAGTAGGACAAGAATCTTCAAACTGGAGGTGTGTGCTTAGTCTTGAGACATGTGAGTTAAAAACAAGTCTACACCTAAACAAATCACAATGACACTGCAGAACATGAAGGGTTAAAAACTCTAAAAAGTGCTGGACCCAGAAAGGATGCCTTCTGTTGGGTGGTGTCTCAGGGAGGAGCTCAGTCTCTCTCCTTGAGCCTCCAGTCCACTCTGGGCCTCCATCCCTCTGCTGGATCCCAGGTTTTCCACTTCACACTCGGGCTAGACAAAATCCCAGGAAAGTCAGTCCCAGCAGCAACCTTCCTTCTTTCACTTGCTCTAAACTTGCAGTTCAGAGCACTTTCCTGAAGACTGCGAGGGCTGGGAGGAAGAAGGTTCTAAATGTTGCCCCAGGTCAATTTTAACCTCTACTACTCAATATTTATTTCTTTTTATCAACATATATCTCAGATTTCCTTCTTTATCATTGGTACTTGCATGGCATTTTTCCTCCTGGCATCTTTTCTCATTTCCTTGAAGTATATTCATTGGCAGTCCCTTCACCGTTGGTTTAGAGATAATAAACTCTTAATCTTTTACAGAAATGGAAAATTGTAAGTCCTACATTCTTTGATTTGAACTTTGCTAGAAAATACAGTCATAGATTGTAAGCTTTAATTGGATTTGATAAGAAATCTTAAAAAGAATGAGAACACAATTACCAGCAGTCCTTGGAAAGGTAGAGAGGCGGTTTAAAATAGCCTAGGAGTGCGTCCAGCATGTGGATCTGTTTTTCCCTTGGGGTCCTTTGTCAATTCCAGAGGAAAAGTGGAAAGGCTGAGCAGATTTCTTCATGGCTGCAAGGTGTTTTGTGGACATAGATTTAAGTTCAAGTACTACTATGATGGTGTGGGAAACATCATCCCCCTTGCTCTGAGTTGGAACTTAAAAGTCTGCACCTTAAGAGTAAGGGATAGGTCAGAAATAGATCCTTATAAGGACTGCAGTCCTTGAAATTAGGTTAATGAGATCCTAAAATTCCAAAACTGCTTCTCAGGCACCGGAGAGAGGCAAATGTGAATTAAAAGGAAATTAAATTATCCTAAGCCCCAAATTAATTTGAAAATCATTTTCAAATGTTTTGTAAATAAATTTCAAAACAACTCTGCAAATACATAATTAGCACACAATTAAAAATAAAGAGACACACAAGAAAACAAGACTGTACAAATAAAAATTTGCAAAAACTACAGGTAATACAAATAGAGCCAGCCAGGCTCCAGATGTTGGAGCTCTCAGACACAGACTTTACAATAACTTACTATTCCAAGGAGATGAACTACAATTGAAAATGATGGCAGAGAACAACAAAGAAAGAGAAAGGAATATATATGTACATTTTGAAATGGCTTACACATACGTGAACCAGAATTATTTATTGTACATGTATACACACAAAGTTTACGGTAGTGGGTTGCTTCGAAGGAGGAGGAAATGATGGGAATGAGGAGGGGATAGGATGGAACAAGGCATATTGGGAGGTGAGCACACTCAATTATTAGTATTTCCATCCAAGATTAGGGTATATCTTCCAATTGGTTCAAGTCTTTTATCTCTCATAATAGCATTCTAATATTTTGTCCATGGAGATCTTGCTCATTTCTTGTTAAATTTATTTATAGGTATTTACAATCATTCTTGTGTTACTGTAAGTTGGATCTTTTGCCATTTTGTATTCTAACTGGCTGTTGATTCTATACAGCAAGGCCATCAACTTTTTGTATATAAATTTTATTTTTAGCCATCTTCCTAAAATTTATCTTTAATTGTAATAGTTATGTAATTCTCTTGTTTTAAAGATATGAAATCATTTCTTTTGTAATAATACTTCACCTCCTGCAGTTCAAATATTTTTGCCTTTTATTTCTTTCATCTAATGCTGACAATTATACGAGCTAGTAATAATTTGATTCATTATCAACTTTAGTGTAAATACATCTAGTGTTTTCCATCAACATGACTCTTGAGTTGATCTATGTATAATAAAAAAAATTTTATTTCTATTTTAGTTAAAATGTTTTTAAAATCAGGATGGATATTGAATGTTATCAAAATAATTTTTAATATCTAGATATCATGATTTTGTCTTTTATTTATTAATTTGTTGAATCAAATTAATAATTTTCTCATGGTAAATCCTCTTTGCACTGTTAGTATGAATCACATCTGCTTTTGTTATATTGTTTTCTTAATGTGCTGCTGTATTTTATTTACTGGGTTTTTCCCCAAAAAATTATTGTATCAAAATTCATATATAAAATTGGTCTAAAGTTTTATCTATGCTCTCTTTGTTGGATTTAGTGTCAACATCATGCAGATTTAATCCTGTAACATGATGCGGAAAAGCCTGCATTCTAAAGCCAAATGGCCTGGTTCAAACCATAGTTCTGCTACTTGCAACTAACGACCTTCAGCAAATTATTTAACCTTTCCATGAATTGGTTTTTTTGGATGTGAAATGAATGTGAGGCATCTTCTACTTCTGGTTCTTTTTTTCTTTCAAGATGTAGCTCTTCACGTCCTAAATGAAAGGCTGTGGATGTGGTAACAAGTACACTTTTTTTTTGGTAGGATCTAAATTCTAATTTTTGCCCCTGTATTTGTCCTAGTACCAATTAAAATAAGTGTATGTGTGTGTGTGTGTGTTGGGGGGGGAGGGGGCGGTCAGTGGTTGGGTGTTCCCCACAACAAGTAATTCTCAGGATACTAGTTGGTATCTATAATTCAACTCATCTCTGACACTATCTACCCAGAGATAGCATCAGATTTCACAGCTTAAAGGTTCAGTCTTACAAGACTGTCCC